GCAGGAAGCCTGCTTCTCCCTCTCCCACTCCCCCTGCTTGTGTTCCCTCTCTCACTGTGTCTCTCTCTGTCAAATAAATAAATAAGATCCTTAGAAAAAAGAAAAAGAAAGCAAGCCACCTCTGACTTTGAAATTCCAAAATATTACTTTTTATGTCTTAGTTTTAGAACATCAGTTCTTTATTATTTAGGAGAATCCTGGAACAGCACCCTTTGGTCATTTCTTTTTCATTGCTTTCTTTGTTCTACTCAATTAGAAAATTTAAGATGATCTTCTAGCCATGTGTTAACCTTTATTCTGCTTTGCTTTTCTTTTTTTATCTATAAATTTTAGCCTAGAGAAGCTTATTGGAATCTCTATCTTAAGCAGAAAGGAAACTCAGGTGAGACTAAAAGGGAAATTTCAGAGAACAAGAGACCTGATGTGTCCTGGATGATTAGTAGACACGCATAGTTTCCTTCATACCATATGTCTTATAAGGAAATTCAAGTGATTCTTCTTAGAAAACAAGATTTTAAACACCAAAGCTTAGCTAAGATGAGCTATCAGTTCATTCTTGTGTCTCTAGAGCTTCAAGGAGATTTCTTAATCAAAGGACAGAAAACACACAGACACTCGCATCCATCTAACACAGAGCCTGAAGGAGAACAGAGTGGCTTCACCAGCGGAAAGGCTGGGGACTCGGGAGTGACCAAGAGGGAAAGGAGTCGAGCAGAAATGCCAGGCAAAGACGTGTGGCGCCAGGAGCATCCACTTAGTTCCTACACACAATGCCCTTGGCGTTTCCTCTTGGCTTGTTCTGAGAATGTTATTTTGTGTCTGGATAATTTCTTCAACATCTTAAAATATATAGAAAGATATTCTGAGTCACTGCACATGTGCACACACTTTAAAAACCTATTTTTTTTATTCTCTCGCCGAAGCTTGAAGTATGACATGGAGTTCCCAACTCTCACTGCTTTCCTGGTACAGCCTTTGAACATGGGAGTTTGCCAAAGCCATTTTCCCCTCATGTCATGGACCTCCATTAGGAAGATGGCCCTACTGGTGTCTAGCTTAACCCATTAATGGGTCTACATTGAATCTATAAAAATATCGTCCTGGTTATTCTGGAATGTGCAGGTATTAGTATAAAAAGCCTGTGAGCAGGATTTTTTTTCCTATCAAAATCCTATTCCTTTGGATTGCTGCATCGACCTGCTCTGTCATGTGACATTTACTTTTCTAAATAGTTGAGTGCTTAAGTCCTCACATACTGGAACCAGGGTATGGTCAATAGGTTTATATTTCTTAACATAGTATTGGATTTATTCAGATGTGGTGTGTCTTTTGCTCATCATCTGTGTTAAAATCTGTTATTCAGAAGAGATTTATAAAACAGGCTTCTTTCTTAGTCAAATTGGAAGGGAGAATTAGAGAATATTTTCCCCTAAAGAAATGTTAATGTTCACTTTGTGGCTTCATCTTTGCCTTATGACTTTGTTTTTCCTGTTTCTATATTTGCTCATTTAAAACCACAAGTGTGTTACCTCATTTGAAGTCATTTTTCTGGGGATTTTCCTTGACTAATGTCTATAGAACTACTTTTGATAAAAATGAACTTTGCCATCTAAAATGTGTTTCACGGGCGCCTGGGTGGCTCAGTTGGTTAAGCGACTGCCTTCGGCCCAGGTCATGATCCTGGAGTCCCGGGATCGAGTCCCGCATCGGGCTCCCTGCTCAGCAGGGAGTCTGCTTCTCCCTCTGACCCTCTTCCCTCTCGTGCTCTCTCTCTCTCATTCTCTCTCTCTTAAATAAATAAATAAAATCTTTAAAAAAATAAATAAATAAAATGTGTTTCGCAGCCCCAATAACTCTCACACATCTGTCTTTCAGAAGGACACCCATGTCTTTAAAGAGAAAACAATGTCATCATTTGGTACCTTAACTCTTATCATTTCTTCATGGTATGAAATTGGTTCGCGTGACTTTTCCAAGTTTTAGGAGCTACCTACTTCTCCAAAATGTTATGAAGTAGAGCCTCTGGTAAAAGGTATTAAAAAACCAACCATTGGTCATTTGTCTGAACTTGGAGCTTCAAGAAAAAAATAGTTGACAGAACTACACGATGGTAGTAAGACGACCCTCCGTGCTCTCCATCACAGGAATCAGTGATGGTTTGAAACACTTGCTTTAAGCAGTTTATACCAAGAATGGACTTCATTGTTATTCCTGTTAGTCATACCAATGCTTTACCCTTTCGGCTTATAAATGTCCATGCTTTATTCTTTCTGTCTCATTTAAGAGACTACACCTCTAAAAATAGCATCTACAGTTTATGATAAATTTTTGGCCAGCCAGCTTTCAGTAAAAGGCAAGTATGTTATACTTGAACCTACTTCAAGAAATGCCTTTTTATAAAGGAAGGGTCTTTCCTGACTGAAGAAAATTACCTGAAGTCAAAGATACAGAGTTGCTGGTCATTTTGATTGGAAGATGCCAGGTATTAGATTAATTGTATCTGTATAAAATCATGTCATCTCATGAAGAGCCTTACCACCTAAAAATAAGAAAGCCCCAACACCTATACAGAGTTTGGAAATAAAATCAACTCACCTATATATCCTAAATCTGTAATTCATAGTCACCATCAAATGTTAGAATCATTAGGTTGAATTGCATACTTGTTACTCACTCTGGCCACACATCATGGAGAGATTAAAAGATTTTATTTGTTGTCCCTGATGTAGTTGTGTTGTTTTTCATAATGATGTTAAGTGAGTTTGGTTCATGCACATTCTACCTTAATAATCATACTTTTTAAAGAGGCAGTCCGTAGTATTCCAAAATCCAGGAGTCCAAACAAAAGAAAATCTTATTCCCATGCAAAATCTCTACAGAAATAAAAGGAGTAACTGTTTTGCATTTCAGGGTTGGCTTGTTGAACCAGCAAAGACATTTGGCGATATGCTTCCAAGATAGAAAACGTTTTTTCTTTATTGTACTCTCAATTGTGTTTTCTTTAATAAAGCTCTTACAGAAGTCTACCTCAGGCACCAAGTATTAGATGTGGTTAGCATATTGGTACTGAAAAATGGAGCTAGGACATCCAGTTATTTAAGATAATTTAAATGTAAAATTCAACTGCTAACCAGCAATGTCATGTGCTGTGCAGCTTGGATGTTGTATGAACAGCTAAGGAATTACCCATTCTAGTGCCAGAGATCACCCGTTGCTAATTCTGTTCTGTACATTGATGTAAAACTTAGTGGTGGGGGCAGACTGCTCGGGGCCTCGTCTCATGAAGACTGGTCATTGCCACATACAGTTGAGAAAAATTAATTTGTGGTTTGCATCTTTTCCCAAACTTGAATTTACCCCATTCTTTGTGTAAAATAGTACCTGAGAGCTTAATGGTTTGTGCGGAAAACCTAATATGAAAACCTCTCCTAGTACATTCACCTGTAAATTGATCTCAGTGGGAATGCAGGAGCAGGAAAATTTCCAAGTAGATGTTTGGGCTCAAAACATGCCCCTTTTCAGGGGCGCCTGGGTGGCTCAGTCGGTTGAGCATCTGCCTTCGGCTCAGGTCATGATCCTGGGGTCCTGGGATCGAGCCCCACGTCAGGCTCCTTCTTCAGCGGGGAGCCTGCTTCTCCCTCCCTCTGCCTGCCACTCCACCTGCTTGTGCTCTCCCTATCT